AGCCCAACCCCCCTGCCGGAGCAGGGGCACCCAGAGCACATCACACAGGAACGTGGCCAGGGGGGTTGGAATGTCTCCAGAGAAGGAGACTCCACAGCCTCTCTGGGCAGCCTGTCCCAGGGCTCTGTCACTCTCACAGTAAAAAAATGTTTTCTGATATGCACCTGGAACCTCCTATGCTCCAATTTGCATCCATTGCCCTTTGTTGGTTCATGAACAGCTCAACATGAGCCAGCAACATGTGCTGGCAGACCAGAATTGTGCCCAGTTCTGCATCAAAAGAGATGTAGCCAACAGGTCAAGGGGAGGTGATTCCCTCTGCTCTGGTGAGACCCCCTCCCTGCACTGCTGCATCCAGTTCTGGAGTGCCCAATAGAAAAAGGACATGGAGCTGTTAGTGTGAGTCCAGTGGAGGCCACAAGAGTAATCCAAGAGCTGAAGCACCTCTACCCCAGAGTGAGGCTGAAAGAGTTGGGGTGTTCAGCCTGGAGAAGAGAAGGCTCCAGGGCAACCTTAGAGCAGCTTCCAGTGCCTGAAGGGGCTCCAGGAAAGCTGGGGAGGGGTTTGGGACAAGGGCAGGGAGGGAGAGGACAAGGGGGGATGGATGAAAACTGGGAGAGGGAGATTGAGGTGAGACATGAGGAGGAAATTCTGGAGTGTGAGGGTGGTGAGAGCCTGGCCCAGGCTGCCCAGGGAAGCTGTGGCTGCCCCATCCCTGGCAGTGTTGAAGGGCAGGTTGGATGGGGCTTGGAGCAGCCTGGGCTGGTGGGAGGTGTCCCTGCCCATGCAGGGGGGTTGGAACTAGATGATCATGATGGTTTTCCTTGCTACACCTTGCTGCAAAGAAAAACCAGGGCACCTACCATACAGGATGATGCTGGCATTGGTGTTGCCCAGCTTGTTTGTGGCCACGCACGTGTAGTTGCCATAGTCCTTCTCTGAGACGTTGAAGAAGGTCAGTGTTGACAGGCGGCCCTTGCTCTCGATCCGCACACCCTCCAGCCCGTTTGCTAACCTGCAGGAGAACATGGATGCTGTTGCTCTGACACGTACCTTGCACCCTTCTTGGGCCACCCCCTCACAGCCCACCAGCCAACACCACTACACACCCACATATTCACCCACTTGACTCTCAGCATCCCACCAAACGAGCCCTTTGCCCCACCACACCACCCAACCGCACATCATACTCTCCATCCCATAACCCGTCTCCCCTGCCTGACCCCTACAGCCCACATTAACAGCCACAACCACCATCCCCAGGAGGAATGACCCACCAAAATGAGTTGGCCTGCAGCCCCTCACCTTGTGTCCTCCTTGAACCACTGGAACTCAGCTACAGGGACGGCCGAGGCCTCGCACTGCAGGATGCCCTTCTGGCCCACCGAGGCGCCTGTGTTCTTGGCGTTGGAGATGTAGGGTGGGTCTGCAGAGAAGCCATGCCATGTTACACCAGGTTACACCTGCCAGTGCCCCACCAGCACGACCCCTCTGTGCTCCCCCCCTGTCCTTTGCACTCACAGTTGACGGTGACTTTGACCTTCCTCACGTCAGGGACGGACACGTCATTGACGGCGCTGCACTCGTACTCCCCAGACTGCTCCCGTGTGATGCCCGTGATCTCCAGGTACTCATCCTCACTCACAAAGCCCTGCCCTGGGAGACACCCCAAGAACATGGCACTATCACCTACAGCTGCCAGCACCCACACTGGGACCCGCCCCCCCCTGCCTGCCGACATCCCTGCTGTGCCTTTCCCTGACACCCTCCTCACCTGGCACCAGGGAATCTTGGAACATCACCTAAGGAGCACCCTTGCTCCCACACCAGGACCTCCACCCTCCACAACAGACACCAACAGACCTCCAGCCACCTCTACAGGGACAGCTAGCAGTCCCACAGGGGCTGGGCAAGCCCCCTCCTCTGACCTGGGCAGCTTGGCCCCTGGGGATGCTCTCACCTTTGCCGGAGAGGTGCCGCCACGTGACAGTGGGCTCTGGTCTCCCAAAGGCCAAGCACATGAGGGTCACACTGCTGCCTTCATTCACTGTGATGTCTGACGAGATGTTGACAATCTGGGGGGGGACTGCAAGACATAAAGGTGAGCAAAGCCACCATCAACACACCTGGCCCTACCAAGCCAGCCCCCCCACCCAACCCTGTGTTGTGGCTGAGACCCCGATAACCAGCTCTCATTACAGCCCGTGACAAGGCTCATATTTTAGCATATTTATTAAAGCTGTTTAAATTACAGAGCGTCTGCTTCATTCAATACTGGTCACAGTGATTTATCTCCCTCTATCCCCAGATACTCCATCTAATAAATAACTTTGCAATTCCCCATGTCCATAAATATCCCCAGCCCAGGCGAAAAAAACACACAATTAAACCCCACTCCCTGACACTATTTCCCAGTGCACCAGGCTCCTAGATGTTACCCCCACCAAGAAGGTCTGTGCAACTGAAGTCCTACAATAACAGTCCTAAAACACCAGAAAGGATGCCCTTTACCCCCTTCCCGAACACCCACCAGGGCAAGCACAGCCAAGGGCTCTTCTGCAGTGCTGGGATGCCAGGATAACCACCTGAAGAACCACTGTGGCCAACACCATCTTGCCCAAAAGGGGCCAGGAGAGCTGCCAGGCTTTCCTCTCACCCTGGGAACCATTTCAGCCCTGCTGGTTTGTCACAGCATTGTCCAAACTGGATGGTCATAGAACATGCTGGGTTGGAAAGGACATTACAGGTCACCAAGTGCAGCCCCCTTGCAGTGAGCAAGGACCCCTCTAACTAGATCAAGTTGCTCAGACCCTCATTAAGCCTGACATTGACAGTCTCCAGGGATGGAGCCTCCACCGACTCTCTGGGTCACTTCTTCTAGTGTTTCACCACCATCACAGCAAATAACGTTTCCTTAATATCTAATGAGGAGCTGGGCAAGGATAGAGGGAATACCCAGCAGGCCCATGGCTACATCCCTGAGAAGTTTAAGCTGGCTATAACCACCAGGCTCTGGCCCTCACCAGGCCTCCACAGAACAAACCAAAACCAACACCCCAACCCTGGTACAGAAGAGGCAGCACGGCAGGATGAGCCACAGCAAAGACATGGCACGGTCTCCACAGCCCGACAGGCCCTGCAAGGCAGTAAATTTCCCAGCAACTTGACACATTAATATAGAAGTACAGTCTGTTATAGCAGAGGAAGATTGTCTGAGTCCTTCAGGGGAAAGGAGCAATCCAAAAATGAAAAGTGTGCTCCAGCAACTGCGGGAAAATGTAGTTAACACTTGGAGCAGAGCCGGCTGGCTCCACCAGCACAGCCATGATGAGCTCTGCCAAGGGAAGGCTGATGATGCCCTTCCTAAAACAAGCAAGAAAGACTGAGATGATACTCCTCCATGGAGCAAGGGCAGTAAAGCTGTAATGGGCAGAGGCCCCCACATGCACTGTGCCTGCCCAAATTAGGCAGCTGGGATGGGACTGGGATGGGATGTGGGTTTCTGGGAGATACCAGGGTCATGCCATGGGTGGATGTGCCCTTTGCCCACTCTGGGTGAACCTTCCTGGCTCTGAGACCACTCTCAAGACAGGGGGAAGATGATCACCTTCTGGAGCTGTGGGGCAAAAAGCAACATGGTGCACTGTCTCTATCCACCCCTTTATTCCTAGTCACTCCTTTTAAAAGCCCACGGACTCCAGCCTAGATCCCAAGGAAGTGAGGAGCAGCAGGGGCTTCCTGGAGTAGTGAGTGGCCCACAGAGGGTTTCATCGATCCTGCGTAATATTAATCACAGGTAAGTTCATGCATAATGTTTGGTGAGCCAAAAAAATACATTTGTGCTGCGATCTCTTGTTTGTGTGGAAAGCCGGGGAGAGAAATTGAACGTGAAAGCGATGCCACTAAATTCAATAACAATAAGCCTGTGATTTATCTCCTCTTTCACTGCTCAGACCCAAATGGCCCAATGCACCAATTCACACTCTCCATCAGGGCCTGGTTTCTGCCTGGTGGGGACCAGGAGAAGCCATCCCTCCCCTCACCTCCCAGGCTGGAGTCTGCAAATAGCCCCGTGGGGCTGGGTGACACTGCTGTCTCCTGTGATGCTACATGCCATGCTGGTGCTATCCCTTGGAAGCACAGCCAAGCAGTTCCTGAGACTCCCTCCTAGCCCACCAGTCCCAGCACCACCTCCAGGCACCAGTACCAGCTTTGTCCCTCCTGCTGCTGAGGACACAAGTGACCAAAAAGCTCAAACCTTCTGGGTTTGACCAGACACCCAAGTATGAGGAGGGCTGGCCACCGCCTTGCCTGGGGAGGCGCAAGTCCAGCCCTGCTAAACCATGCAGAAAGAGCCAGGTCATTGCTGCGTGATCACCGACTCCACGTGATGCTGACGCTCATTGACTCATCTCCCAGCTCCTCAGTGCTGATCCCACCAGAGACACTCACCCCCACGGCCCTGGAACGCTATTTTTAGCTGCCAAATCATGACTGCCGCAGGGCTGGGAGCGGAGAGCCTGCGGCTGACACCAACAACTGATGTCCCTCCTGCACATTATTAGCTCTTAATTACAAGAGACCTCTTCCCTACATCTTTGATAAGGTGAGATGATAGATGGTGGATCTTTGGTGGCGGGGTGCAGGGGATGGCAAGGACACACACAGCACCTCCATGCCCATGTCCTCTGATGTCCCCTCTAGCCGGCAGGAGAAGCAACATCAGGAGTTTTAACCAAGTGTTGCTTCTCAGCAACAAAGATTATCACCTCTGATCAAACCTGTCCTTCTGACAGCCCAATCCAAGAGGCTCACCGGAGTTGATTTTATGGATTAAGCACGTCCAACAGCGACAGTTTGGTCAACAGAATGATTTTTATCACCTTTCCTACAAGGCAGCTGTATGTTGTGCTGCCACCTCACACGCTCTACAGGCACTTCCTTTTGGAGATCTTCAGAGATCCCACCCTCCCCTGGGCTTCAAACATTGACTCTTCACAGCCTCCCCTGCCCCAGTAAGACACACTTTGTACAGTCCTTTAATGGGAAAGGATCATCATGTGCATATTTCAAATGCAGAGATTTTTCCAGCCAGGTGAGCACATCTTTGCCCCTGCCTTTCTCTCCTGCACACCCCTAGAGAGCAGGTGAAGGGAGAAGAAAATGAAATAATAATAATTAATAAATAATAATAATAAATAATAATAATAATACCAACACTCAAAACAACTTTCCTACTAGTGCCTTCAGAACCCAAGTACCTTTGCAGAGTGCACCCCTTATCTCCACATAGATTGGGAGCCCTCCTACTGGACTTTCCCACAGCACCATGAGATGCATCCAAGTTAAACACAAAGGGGGTGGGAAAGCCAGCACAGACCAAACACAGAGTCCAGCTGCATTGGGACTGAACGCTCAAGAGATGTTGCACCATCAAAACACAGGCTTCAAGCACCTTTTACTAGACAGAGACTCCTTACTGCTTGCTGTACACCCTTTTTCCCCAAGTTTTCATGTTGAGACAAGGAAAGCAATAAAACTGAAACTCCAAATGTTATACCTACTGTGTAACCACCTGTCAGTAAATTTATGAACAATTAGGACATGAGAGTGCTTCCCAGGGAGCTATTTGCTTGCACGCTAAAACGTTCTTTCTGTTCGGAAATATAATGGGGAAACAACTTCTCCAGTTCTCCCTCCTCTTCCCCATTTTCACTTTTTGCAGTAATTAATCTGCTGCTGTGGTTTTTTTCCCATCACTTCCCAGCCCCTGCAGCATGTCCTGATGCCTCTGACAGCTCTGCTCCTGCCGGCTTCTTGACAGACTTCAAGAAGCCTCGAGGACAGGAGCTGAATGATGTTGTCTGGGTGCTCCTCATCCTGTCCCTCCTCCATATTCCCATCTGGATTTTGGGTTAGCACATCACAGCAGCTGCTTGAAGGACAGTGGCTATTTCTCCCTGGACCCTGGTCCTGTTTTCTGTCTGCCAGTCAGGCTCTCCCTCTGTCCAGACCTTTCCCCTCTCCATACCCTCACCCTTTAATTACTCATTTTTCCCTGTTGCTGCCTCCTGCTCTTTTGATGCTCACTACACACATTTCCTTCTCTCTTTCCTTTGTTCTACAAGTCTCTAGACTTTTCTTCCCATCTCGTGGTGGTTGTTTTTATTCCCACTCCAGTTGTTTCTTTCTTCAGTCATTGCTATTCCTCCCAGGTTATCTCTGAGCACACCTCAGCTTGGCTTCTCTACTATATCTCAGCCAGTTGCTGCTGCATCTCCCCCATCAAGCCATTTTCACTCTTTCATCCACCCTCTGTTTCTTCAGGGAGGGAGGAAGGTTGATGTGGGGTGTGATTGCTCCTTTCAAGCTTTTTCCCATCCCAGGACACCAGTCTACACTGCTTTGTGGTGACAGATGATGCTCCCTTCTTCTCTTCCTAACAGAGCTTGTACTATTTGATTTTTCATCTGCATTTGTATACAGTGACATTTTGTCCCTCGTGAGCCATCCAGATAAAGAAACTGCTGTGCCCAGGTTGCACCTCTTTCCTTTCCCACCCACTCAAAGACCCCCAGAGAAGGAAATGTGAAACATTACTTTAAACACCACAGACATTATGTGCTTTGGGCCTTCCCTCCTGCTGAGAAGATGTCTTTCCAGCTTAAGTGATTTTTTCCATTTCTTCTTAACAGCTTTTTGATTTCCCTTTTACTTCCCTGCACTCCATCCCCACCTTCAAGAGCCCAACCTCTGGGAGATTCTCCCTCTTCAATTCACCATTTCACTCATCCCCACCGGGATGATTAAGCTGGTGCAGGGAGGGCTGGACAAGCTGAGCTTCCCAACACAATCCACAAAAAGACCACTCCATTAGACCCAGAGCTGTGGCAAAGGGAAAGACCTACGGGCATACAGCACCCACCCAAATGTCACCAGGCCCTTTGCCTGGAATAGGCAGGTGATTCCTTTGTCACTGGAGATGTGCCCCAAGCCTCAAGAACTGCCTTCACCATTCCTGCAAACCCTCAATCCAAGGCACATGCTACATGATGCAAGAGGAACCTCTGCCAACTTTCTGTATCACGTTGCATCACATTTACTGCACACCATCTCTTTCTTGTTTCTTAGGAAGACAAAAAAGCCCAACCCAAACTAAAACACAACAATAAAACAAACCATCAGGTGAGGGACAAGTATCCCCAGTGATACTGCTGCTGTGCAAGCCCCTCATGACAAACACTACACACTGAGCACTTTATCTATAAGCTCTTTCTACATTTAGAGCCCACTTGTCAGGTCTTTCCTACAACAATGAAGAAGACTGAGCTGCTCCCCTCACCTGAGGAGCTAGTTGTTATCAGTAAGAGGGAAAAAATAGATTCAATTTGCTTGCAAGACACTGGCTGAAGAGCTACACCTGCATTGGTGCTGTTTTGAGAGGCAACAGGTGTGCTGAGGGGCACAGAATCAGATCTGGAAGAGCATCCTTGAGCAGATTCGGAGAACCAACCACACAATCACAACCTCCCTGCTGCAAATGAAGGCCTCGATCCTTCCAAACCCCTCCCCAGCTCCCAGGGCAAGGAAAGCAGCACGACACCCAGACAGGAAAATGGATTGCATCCACCAGAAACTAACAGTAACAATGCCGACAGCAGGGAGAGGTTTTAATGAAAAATCTATGGTGAGTAGGATTAAGGCAGCACGGAGGAGGGTTTGCTAAATAAATCAGAAACAGAGGACACCTGAGGAATACCAAAGACCAGTATTGTGTAGGGATGCCCAGTATTGATGCTCACCACTGGGATCTCCACCAGACATGGTGCTGCATGGTGTGCAGATCCTACAGCTACACCCTTCTCTCTACGGCTGCTGCTACAACAAGGATGCTGAGTTTGCTCTTCCCCAAAAGCCACAGTCTGTGCCCCAACATTGACCCCAGTCTCCACCTTTCATACTGAAATATGCCCCCCCTTCCTGGAATGGCCCACACCAAGGAGGCACAGCTAAGCCCTGGCAAACTACTGCACTGAAACTGTTCTGTGGTGCAAGGTGGTAACATCTCCTGGCTCATCCTTGCAAGCTCATGTCTCCTGGGAGTATGGGCAGTCATACCCAGGGACAGGAGGGCTCACCCAACATCCAGCCCCATGGTATCCTCTGCTCAAGCTGCTTGTGGCAAGAGCAGGATGACATGGCTCATCTTCTCTTTGGCAAGACTAAATGGCAGTTCTCTCACATTCATAACTGTGTCCCTGTGTCCCCAGAAGCTCCAGCCCCATCATCATGAGGTGCCACCCCCAGAAAAAAAAGAGGAAAAAGGAGACAAAAAACCCCCTTTGGCTTCCTGCCACTTACACTCCTATAAACCCTTGTTAACAGCTGTTGCAATGAACCAATCCAAGAGACATATTAATAATGACACTAAGAGACACATTTACTGTTGACTGCAACTCCCCAGCAGATTTATCACCGAGTTGCAAGGAAGGAAGGCTGGGCCCTGCAGTTGCACAATTAAAACCCAATTGAATACGGAGACAAAAGAATCAATACTCTATCCAGCCAACTTTGGGTTGTGCACCATACAAACATAAATTCATTGACCTGAACACTGCTGCTACCTGGTCATAACTGCATCACTGTGCATCCCCAGGTCCTCTCCTGCTTCCTTTCAGCTGTGGAGAAGGAAGGCTGGGACTTCCACACACCAGGGGAAAACTTTTCCCAGCAGTTAGGATCACCTCACCACCGGACAGTTGCTCTGGATGCAAACTGTCCCTCCCCATTGTCCACCCTAGCTCTGCCCCAAACAAGGGGTGAGGAAAGCAGCTGAGTTGGCCTCATTTCATTAGGTGCAAAGCACTCGGATACTTCACACCGGTGTTGACTCGGTGGATTAACATGATCACAGAGTAGACAGGATCAACAGATTAAACTTTGTGGACGAAAGGCTGGCACACAACTTTAAAAGGGGGAAAGGGAGAGGCTGCGAGGAAAGACCAGTCCTCCTCTCCCCTCTTCCTCATCCCCCCTCACCCAGCAAGGAGCCCCCAACATGCTCCCACCAACACCAGTGAGGGAAACCACTTGGATGAGTGGCTGTGATCAAACCCTGCCTTCTCCAAATGAGCAGGATGCATAAAACACACATATATCTGTGTCGGGGGCTTCTTGGAGACGTGTTTTTCAGATTTGCTCATTGCAAAATCAATACCCATCAGCTGTTTAAAATTAAAGGAAAGATTAGGTCCTGGTTTTATACACGCTTTATTGTATTCCAAGAGCTTTCTACTCAGTCAGATAAATCTTCTTTAAGAGGATTAGGAAACTTTCATTATCTTTATCTAACCTGAACTAACACTAACTCTGAAAAATTAATCTAGAGGTTGGACAAAAGCTGGAAGCCAGTACAGAGCCACAAGGATATGGAGGTGGTTTCCATTAGATGCTACAGGTACCTCTGAGCTTCTTGTACCCAGATTCTTCATCATAGCAGCCTCAGGAGTGCTGCTTTGCACCCTGATGGCATCTGCTATGCCAACACACTCACTAACCTATGAAACCCCATGCCAAAAGACCTTTGTGGCCCTGCAGCAACTTCGAGATGCTCACGTTCTCCCCTCTGCTCCTCCACTGTGCCCAGCAGAACTTTGCTCTCAGCTCTCCCAAAGTACCTGCAAGATCGTGCCCAAGCCCCTTCCTAACAACTCCCTGTGGCATTGAGACAAGTGACATGGGTCCCCAGACAGGCAAGGGGGAGGAGGAGGAAGACACCAGCTCCAAATCCAATTCACAGATGTTCCCTGCCCCGTGCAACAACTGTACAACACAGCAAGGCTGAGATGACACAGGTCCATCCTCTTCTTTGTGTGGCAAGAGCTTGTCCCTGTGCCATTCACGCCCTGAAGCAATGGATGTTGGTCAGATCCCTACATCTCCATCACCAAGAGGGCCTCCAAAGTCCAGATTCTCCCACATAGGGAGAATCTGACCAATAGGTCAGATTGGCAATAGCACACGAGGCATGTTAAGGCCTACCTTGCACGATGAGATGGACACGTGATGTCTTGGGGTGATTGTCTGTCTGCACAGAGCAGGTGTAGGGGCCCTCATCGTAAATGTCCACATTGTGTATCTTGATGCTGTACTGGGTCTTGGTGTTGGAGAGGATGACCACACGGTTGTCTATAGACCACTTGTCATTGCCAGCATACAGGATGGTGCTGCGGTTCAACCAGGCTACCCGTGTGACCCTGTCATCCACGGTACACCTGCAGAAGAAGGGACAGAGAGTCACAAAGGTGGGACAGGAGGCTCAGCAAGCACCCCAGCTCCCAAAAGGGGACATGAACAGGATGAGAGTTGAGGTTCTTGCTCCCCATCATGCACAGCCAGACCACCAACAGGGAGATGACCCCTACCATGGCTGCACTGCCCTGCTGCCATGTCCTGTGTCCTTCTGTCACCTGAAGTGGCAGGTTCACCAGAAAAAAAAAGCCCTTCGTCCTTCTTTTATATAGAACTACCAACAAAAATTCCATTATGTCTGACCTCTGCAAGCTGTGCAAATTTTCTGTGCCCCACCACCCCCCAACCCTCGCCCTCGCCACGGACGGAGCATTTCAGATGAAGCTGTAAAATTTGCTGACAGTTCAGCTTGTCAGCACGGCCCTTGAGCCATCCCTGGGGTGATATACACACCCGCTGCCGGGGGAAAGCGTCTGCCGCACGTCTGGGGAGAGGGGAAGAGGAAGAGAAACAGCCAGAGACAGTGAAGCCAGCGCATGGGGAAGAGAAGGGAACATTTGGATAAGCAGCTGTAAATCCTACAAGTGCCTTGAAAACACAACACGGTCGTTTCCAATATTTATTTCCTGCCTGGCTCCCACTGTCCCCACTCCAAGATGCGTGGGGGCTCGGCAGCTCCGGTCTGTGGCAAAGAACAGAGGGGAGGGAGAAGGGAATTAAAACCTTCCCAGAGAACACAGCTTTTTCATTCCGATTGATAGATTTTTCTTGGCCTATTTACTTCTGGCTTTCTCTGCCACTGCTGTGGCACCCTCAGCAAAACCACTAAGCTAAATTAAGAGCCTGGCATTTCTCGGGAGCTTCACCTTTCCCACCCGAGGACCGTGGCAGAGAAGCTTCCTCTGGGTGGGAAAGCAAACCAGGAGCGCCAAGCTACCTGCGAGCTTGTGCCTGCAGTGCTGCTGCAGCAAAATCTTTGGGAAAAGGCAAGAAACTCCTGCAAGTCCCTCTCCACAAGCCTGTAAATTCAGAGCCAGGCTGGGAAGCTGTCCCTGTCCTTGTCCCCGCAGCAGCACAGCTCCTGCAGAGGCTTTGGGGGTGTTATATGCCTCTGATGTGGGGCTTGTGGAGTGTCAACTCGATCAAGGTTATTAATTGGGTGGAGGGAAGGGGCGATGCTTGGCACACTTGAGGGTCCCGCCGGGTGCTCAGTTCAGAGGAATGAGCTATATATTCTCCTGCAAACAAGTAATTTCCCTCTTGCAGGAGCTGTACGTCTCCACCAGCCACATCGTGTACAGATGCTGGCAAAGATGGATGGCCAGTGGTGCCCACCGTGGTGCTGCCAGCACGCCAGGAGCCCAGGAATCCAATGCATGGAACCAGAAACCAGGCATCCTCATGCCAGTGGATGGCATTGTTCTTGTTGGGAAGCTGAGCCCTTCCTTTGCTCACATTAACTGGGGGAGAGCTAAGCGCTGCCGAGTTAAGTTCAGCCCTGGGGGATTCCAGTCTAGTGGACTATTACTGCTGTCTCACTTCATTATAATGAATAATAAAGAGATACTTACACGCAGCTTCTGTAAATTATTCATTGCGAGCACTGAAGAATCAGGGCAGCAATATGTAAAACAGACAACTTACATGTCTGCACTCATATAAATATCCAGACTACAACCCTGCGAGGGACTCTTGGGTCCCCTCATTAGGGGTGAAGCACAAGGAGTAGGGTTTGAAGTGACAGGGATCAGAAGCTTGTGCCGTCACTGGGCATGTTCAACTGTGCCTGCCCAGCTTTGGCTGATGCATCCTGGGTGGGCTTCCTGGGGAGATCTGGGGCTAATCCCTCAAGACCGCTTGGAGAAAACTCACAGGAGCAACTTGGAGAGTGCTCCTTCTAACAGACTCATTCCAAGAGGCAAAGGCTCCGTCTCCTCATTCCTTGACCTCACTCTTCAGTTGCTCATTCATGACCAAGTCCCTTCAGCTCTGCCTACGTAGCAACATGCTCCTGTCTGCCAGAGCCCAGGCATACATATGACTTGAATTAGGCCATCAGGGAAAAATGATATTAATTTACTCTTATTGGATCTATTTGCCACATATATGAGCAGCAGACCACTTACTCTCTCCCTTTGGATAGGCCAGCTTCCTTTGCAAGACACAGGGCAGCAGCTTGGTGTGCTTCCAGAGAGCTTTGAAGGGCCCCCTTTTCAGGACCAATATTATATATGGAAGGTACCAAATTAATTTAACTCACTGCCACAGAAGGCAAGATCAGAAAGTGCCAGGTTTTCTCATCCCAACAATTTTGGGCCCTTGTAACTAAAGCAAGAGCAACGTTGGCTGGTTCTGACATTGCCAAGCGCCTCAGTGAGCTGGGGGTCTGCACCACCACGGGTGCTTCAGTGGCAAATACCAGCTGACATCCCTAATCCAGGAGCTCCCTGCCAGCACCTTTACCAGCTTGGAAACTGATCTCCATTAGCTGCTAAGCCGCCAGTGCTCCCTTGTCTGCTGAGCCTTCTTTGCTACCTATTTCCAATTGACCAGGATTATGATAATGGCTCCAGTAAGCAAACAGGTACAGAGACTTCTGTAAAGTGTTTAGATAAAGCAGACAAGCTCTGACAAAGCTGGATAATAAAGTGGGCCAGGAGGTTTTCCCTTGAAGGAATCTAATTAAGAACAAAGACAAACTCCCATTAACAGTCTCCTGAAGGCGCCATATCCATCTCCAGAAGAAACCCTGCCTTACGAGGCTGGAAGGGACAAAAGACAATAAAGCACCTGTCAGACAGGAGGGAAATAAACCCGTCCTGGCTCCACGGTTCACCTGGAGAACACCCATCACCAAGGGAGAGGGACTGATACTGCCAGCTCAAAGCCAAGCCCCTGGCTCCTGCCTCCCCCCGACTCCTCTACACAGCCCATCCCATCTGCTTCTCCATCTCCGCATCCCACTCTGCCTTCCAGCAGAGACTTTTCACTGTCTTTGCCCACCTCCTGCTGTCACTGGTTTCCACCAGAGCAGCTTGCTGGGGATCCTCAGATGCTGCGCTTTGCCTTAGCTCCTACCCCACCAATGCTCACCACGACACGTGGCCTCTCAAATTCACCATCTCCTAAGCCCCAAATTGATCCCCTGGCAGCACGGGGGGGACAAGAGCTGCTGTGAGGAGCCTGGTGCTCTCCCAGCGACGAGGGCGATGAACCTGAACGCAGCAGCACCAGAAGATGCATGAGGGAGGGAGCTGGGGGGCACCGGCGCTGCGCCGCTTCCCCTCTAATTGCCCCTATTCCTCATCCTTAAATGCTAATTCTGAAGTTTGCCGAGGAATTATTTCCCTTAGTGTCAACAATACAGATAACTCCTCCGATCTGCTCTTTGTGTTTGGGGGCACAAAGTGACCGTCTCCCTCCTCCCGGACCCATTAGGAGAGACCCCCGCGTGGCTCCCATGGCAGTTTCCTGCCCGGCCTCATCAATGACACTGACAGTGCTTCTCCTACATGCAGGATGTGCCGTAACACCTGCCATCCTCTTTCCCCCCCCCTTTCCCTGTCCTCATCACAGACCTTTCCCACACGGCTGACACAGCTGAGCGTGAGGGGCTGGGGCTGCCCTTGACATCTGTGGCAAGGGAAACACCACACCCAGGGGTGGCAAAAGCTTTTCTGGCATCGGTTTGGAGAGATAAATGACACATGAAAAGCTGGAGGTGTAAAGTCTTGCAAACTCCTCTCTGTCGGTGCAAAGGATCCCGAGGGATCGGATGCTTGGGACCCCAAAATGTTCATGCACATCCCAAGCAGTTCAGGAGACTGGCTCACACCTGCAGAGCTGAGACCACCAATCCCTGGCCAAGCCAAGATGCTCAGGGGAGATGCTCATCTTTGGATCAACCCAACCCCCTCCTGCTTCTTTATGCAGACCAGCAATCACAGAGTCTTAGAATCACAGAACCTTACGGGTTGGAAGGGATCTCGAAAGGTCACCTAGCCCAACCCCCAATGCCCCACTTTGACATACTTCCACAGCTCTTCAACCCCCAAACTGCTTCTCTCTCCTGGAGGCAACACATCACGTCCAAATGACAAACGGCGACGCCAGAACCAGTCGCGCACTCGCTGGCTGACCCAGTTTTCCTCAGCTAAAATAGCTCACCCGGATCGGGAGCCACAGGGTGGGGCAGAGTGAACACCCCGGCACCCTTGCCTTTGCTAATTACATTTGCTGGGGACTCCTAATGGGATTTCTCCTTTGCTTCCAGTACTTGCCTCGGCTATGGGCTCCACACGCCTTTCATTCCGGGCAGCTGGAGCAAAGGCAGAGGAGATTTATTTGTAATCATCGGAAATAAACACACTTCCTCAGAAGTAAACACAAAAGAACAGAACCTGGCTGGGCTCCCACTTCGTTAAGGATGCAAATGAGAAGCGGGGCCATCAAAATGCAACGGCTGCTCTAATCCTCTCCCAACAATGTAAAGCGCCACATTAGCCGCGGGGACAATGGCATCTGTGGTGTGTGACAGGGCTAAGGCTGTCACTCCAGGAGGGCAGGACAGCTCCTCTTGGGCTTCCAGCACTTCTTCCCTGAGATTTATTATATATGCAGAGGGCAGGAGGCACTTCAGCTTCATTCCGGATCCCTGTCTGCTCTCTGAGCCACTCGTGGTGTCCCTTCTCCCACCTTTCCCTGGTGCTGGCATGAGGGGTACAAGATGAATTCATGGCCTGGCCCACCTCTTCTGTGCTGCTCAGGTTCCCCACGTACTGTTTAAACAAGCTCTGGACCATGGGCAAACCCTTCCCTGTTTCTTTCCCAAAGCCCTCTGAGGGCTACAGGACCCTTCTGTCCTCCTCAGAGCTTCAGGGCTTTTTGGTGGGGGTTTCTCCCCTGTGGTGGGGATCTGCCCACCCAGAACCAAGCACTAAAATAGAAGCTGCTCCCTGTGAAAAATCAAAGCCCAAATTGATGCATTAGGTTGCTAAATATAAAATATCCATCTGCAAAGATAATAAGCCTGTAAGGGCAGGGGCTGTCGAGTTGCTCCATTTCAGATAGTTTAATGGTGTTTTGGTCCATGACTGCAGCTCCCAGACATTAGAATAATAACAAGATGATGAGGAGGGCGGGAGCTGTGTGCCTGAGGCATCAGAAGTCAAGACTTAGCACTTGCTGTGCAGACCACAAGGGGGGCAAGCTGCACCAAACACCCTTGGCTGCTCTGCACACAGCACCCCAAAGGCTGCTGCAACACCCCAGGGGCTGCGAAGATTCAGCTGGATGCCAGGTCACCACCGAGCTCGAGCTGATAACAGCTTGGGGAAGAGGTCTATGCCTTTGGCTTGGAAGGGGTTTGCCCTTTTCCCAAGCACCACAGACCCAGGTACCACCATGAGCATCACGGGATGATGATGAGGCAGGCAGAGGTGTGCTGCAGAAGGCTCACAGACAGGCCTGGGTTTGCACAGGGAAGGGACAAGCAACAAGACAAGCAGCTGTGCTGTGCCCCCACTGCCGCTAAGTGAGCACATCTGCTCCCCAAAGCCACTCACTGGATTTTGTGAATTTATGCTCCACATCAAGAAAATCCAGACATCACAGTTGGCTCTGTTACAGGGTGCTGGGCTTTCCTTTTCAATCCTAAAGCCTTTCACTCCTCTTTGCCTTCACTTCCAGCTCATGGGGACGCACATCTCCCTGACATCACCAGTGTTGACCCCATCGGGGCTGGGCTCTGCTCCCGGCCCCTGCTTGCTTGTCCCACCATGAGTCTCCTGCTTCTGATGGGACATATCCTGAGCCGCCCATGCAGGTCAGCACTGCCTTCAGCAAGCTCTGGATCAGGGCTCTACCCTAGCCCTTTCCAGCAGGGAGCTGTCACATAAATGCCTGGCAGCTCCCACTGGCTCTCCCTGCCCCACACAACTCATGGCAGCTGTAATGCACTCTGAAATGCATCAGAAAATAACAGCAATACTCTCTGCCCTCCAAACCATATCGGGTTTCCAAACAGCCTCTGGCTACAGCCTCACGGCTCCCAGTTCCCCACCCAGCTGTGATCTGGCCATGTCCACATGTTGGGATGCTCAGCAGGGAAGGTTGGGAGGGGAATGCCTAAGCCTTGGTGGCCAACAGCTGTTAGAACACAAACCTTCATAAGGAAATATGAAGCAGTAGCAAAAGAAATAAAGCAGGAGGTTTTTGAATAGAGCAAATCAATGGGGATGTTTATAGAGCAGGTGACACTTAAACACTACCCTCAGAGTCAGGTGATGCTGGTAGCCACACCTGATCTCCCAAATAGAGATGAAAATGAAGGCACTGAGTTGGGGCAACCAGTCCAGGAAAACCATGGACATTGGATGAAGTGCAGCACGACATCTTTCCTCACCCAAAATGGTACCTAAGTGACATCACTGTCACACACTGACACAGCCAAGCCCTGACTTCCATCTTAATCGTGGTCACTGGGCTATCCTGCAGTTTGAAGAAGGCTGGAACCTCTTCCCATCTGCTTTCCCAAGAGACAACAAACATCTGTCAGCATTTACCACCAAGGCATCGTTACCCATCCCAGGAAACAGCAGCAGAGAACCACCTTCTCCCCAGGAAAGCTGAATTCCCCTCTGCTCTATATCCTAGCAGGGAAGAGGAGACCCAAAGCAGCACACCTGTTGAGTGGTGGCAAGGGCCAGATCCAAGGGTGCTGATGAAGGGACACGACCCAGCACCCCCCCCCCCGCTGGCAGCTTGGTGGCCTCACCCAGCACCTCAATCAGCACCCTGCACAAATTCAATCAGCACGAATCTAACACAATGCAGCACCTGTGCCTGCCTGATTTCTAGTGTTCTTCAATCAAAAAAGGAGGAGAAGAAACGTGGGGCTTGTTGCTGGTGGTGTGAGCAGAACCAAACAGAACCCTTCTATGGTGGGGGGTTTTGGGATGGTTTTTTTTTTCCTTGCTACTGCTTTTTTTTTTTTTTTAATCTACCTTCCTAGGAAGGGAGGGACAGAAAAAAAACCTGTTTCACTATCCTAGTTAGCCACATAGTTAAGTGTCAATAATTAGGGCTCTGGCTGCTATGATTCTCCCATCCCCATGGGAAAGGTGACTGTCTCCATCTCAGCCAGGCATGGGAGCCACTTTCAATGTAGGACAGGGTGGCCACAGCTCCTGCAGCATCCCAGACCCATGAAAGAAGAAAGGACATTGGCACCCTCATTAAAACATGGGCCAGGGCATGTCAGGACAGAAGGAGCTCCTGTCCAGTCAGAGTAAACCCATCCTACATCTGTCCCTGGCTTGCAGAGAGGGAAAATTTGCCCCAGCACAGCAGAGGGTGGTCATGCAGTGAAAGGGATGGCAGAAGGGTGACAACTCTGAAACAGGTCCCTGTGGGACACAATGGAACATAAGTCACTGTGGTTGGGAACCCAGCCAAGCCTCCATCACACACAGCCCTTACACTCTCCATGGGTCTGTCTGGCTGCAGTAGGAGCTGGAGGAGAAGCAAACCTCTTCTCCCAACACCCCGTTAATTGCCACCAAAAATATATTTGTCATGAGACACCCGCTCCTATCTCTGCAGCTCTTAAGGGTAATGGAGAGGTTTCAGTCTTTGGAGGATAAGTCTCAGGCTCTTGGCTGCTTGCCCGGGAGGATTATTTTACATCAGGTTGAGTTCTGTAGTAATTATCTTCAAAACAGCTGGACTGCTGGATAAACTCGCTGTATCTTAATGCACAATACAAGAGCAAATACGGAGAATTAAACTGCAATTTCAGACGGGTCTGACAGATAGGCAGAAAAAACACTCTCTGGTCTGTTGGAGGCTGAGGCTCGAGGCTTCTATACCTACTATACCTAGAATGCTGTGTTCAGCTCTGGTGTCCTCAGCACAAGAAGGATGTGGACCTCTTGGAACGTGTCCAGAGAAGGGCCACAAAAATGACCCGAGGGCTGGAGCAGCTCTCTTATGAGGACAGGCTGAGGGAGTTGGGGTTGTTCAGCCTAAAAAGAGAAGGCTCTGGGGGGACCTCATAGTGGCCTTCCAGTACCTGAAGGGGCCCTACAGGAAAGCTGGGCAGGGTCTTTTTACAGGGGCTTGCAGTGAGAGAATGAGGGGTAATGGTTTTAAGCTGAAAGAACAGAGATTGAGGTTAGAGATCAGGTGTAAATTCTTCAGTGTTAAGGGTGGTGAGACACTGGAACAGGCTGCCCAGAGATGTTGTGGGGACTCCATCCCTGGCAGTGTTGAAGGGCAGGTTGGATGGGGCTCTGAGCAACCTGGTCTGGTGGGAGGTGTCCCTGCCCATGCAGGAGGTTGAATCTAGATGATCTTTAAGGTCCCTTCCAACTAAAATATTCTGTGATTCTTCTGAAGCCTCAGGGGTGGGGAGGCAGTTCCTCATTTGAAATCAATCCCAACTTCCCTGGAGACCAAGCGGAGGGAGAAAAGGGATTTTAGATGAAGATGTTTCACCCCCAAGCTCTCAGTGGAGGAAAGAAAGCACCATTTTCCTGACCCAGCTGAGAAATGACCCTGCATTTTCCCTCCAGCTGAGAAATGAAGGGGTATTTGATCCCAGCTGGAAAGTTCAGTGTTTCACACAGCCCCAAGCCTTTGATAAAAGCTCCGATTTCCCAAGTGCTTGGCCCCATGCTGTGCCCCTTGCTGTGGTCCTGCAGGGCAGCCCGGCAGTGATGGGTGAGAGGAGCATCTTCCTCTTCCATCCACATCCATGGAATCTGGACATCACTTTCAGCACCTCATGTACCCCATCCTGGCAGGATAAAGGAGCTGACAGATGGACAAACTGACTCCCAAACAACTGGCCCTCAGCCCAATCACCAGGGAGAATTAGAAGGGTAAAAATCAGCTTCCTTCAGGATGCAGCAGCCACAAGATTTAGCATGTGAAACCCCCAAAGGCAGCACTAATAACCCCTAAAAAGAGAGGAATTCTGCCATTGGATGGTGAAGCCATAATTCATGGCAAACGCCGTGACGTGCTCCTGCCAAACGCAAGATTTGCAAGTGACCCAGCTAAGCCATCAGCCCAAGAATATAATTGCCAATTTGCAGAAATTTCACTAGCAATTAGGCAAAATAAAATGACCCACCAGAGGAAACCCTCTGCTCACTGCTCCCATGCCTCTGCTGACCAACCCACTTCCCACAAATTGTGTTGCTGCCAGGATGATGGCTGACTGCTTCAGGGAATGGGCACCAAGGAGCCAGACCATGGTCATGGTCATGACCATGGTCATGGTCTTCACCAGCAGATGAAGAAGTCACCACCATCACCAGCAGATGAAGAAGTCACCACCATCACCAGACCTCTCCCACCCATTGCTGTCACCTTTCCAAGCATCACCAAGGCCAGGGCACCTGATCCCACCCACCCTATGGGGCGGCCGAACGACTTCACGCAATTAGGGGGGTTTATTTGTTTGAGTTGTACGTGAATGTACCAAATTACATTATCAGATCATCGTCCTGCTTCTGATTTATTCCTTCTTTGTTCTTCAAGTCTTCGTACATCTAAGCAATTAACCTCTCAAAGAGCTGGAGAACACATAATTATCCTCATTTGTCTAAACGTCACCAAGATGGCTGCCTTTCAATTAACCTTCTGGGGATGGAGGGAAGTTGGAGTGATACAGTGATCATTTCCAACTTCAGTATAGGCTTTTTTTTTTTTTTTCCCCCCTCAAAGTAATTTAATTGAAATATTCAGATGATAAAATATAGCCAGATAACTGTTACTGCAGGTAACGGGATCAAGAGGGAGCTTGCAATCGAAAAAGAAGTCAAATGAGGTACAGTAATATTATATCAATACGTGGCACTTCCATCTAAAAATATAAAGCACTTTGTGCTTATTAATGAAGGGAGCCTTGTGCATTCCCCTGCACAGCCCTGGGAAAACACTTCCCTCACCTCTATATGGCACTGCTATCAATTGGGAAACTGAGGCAGGGGATGGTCTGCAGTGACCAGGGGAGCAGGAGCTCACAGAGCAGATCCCTTCATGGCCAGGAGCTTCTTGAGAGCATCTCCTCCCTGCTCGGGCCCTGGGAGAAGGTTGCTCCATAATGAAGTTAGCACAGGAGACGCGGTCACGGCTGAACTGCTTTTGCTTTTGTGTATTTTAATAATAGCCCTGGTTTTGCTGAGATAGTGTCTGCCACGCCGAGCGAGGGAGGGATGTGTTCCCACCCTGAGCTTGGCTAATAAATATGCATCACTGGGAAGTGCCATGTCAAACTTTGCACCTGCGTCAAGCAAGACACCAGTGTCGTCTGGCGCGGGCAAATCATATTTATCCACACCCCCGCACACAAAGAGATACAGAAAATAAACAAGCCAAACTCCCCAGTTCATCGCATCTCCTCCCTGACAAGCATGACTTCTCAATTCCTCGTGGTGCCACAGCTTCACTCCCAGCATGAAATCAAGCCCACCAAAAAGCAATTTCAGCTCCAGCCCCTTGCTGAGCCCAGCTTGCTGCCTCCCGCCCCAGCAAGGAGGAGGTGGCCACAACTGGGCAAGCACTGGCTCTCCCAGCCAATCTGGCAGGTTGGGACAGGTTGAACTCCTTCATGGAGTAAAACTATGGCACTGAGAGATGGGAACAGCCCAGACTCATCCCCTCTGTCCCTTCCCTCCCAGCCTTGTGCAAAAACACGCAGCATTTTGGCACTGAGCCGTGCGAACAAGCAGGGCGGAAAGGATGCGGGAAAGCAAGTCCCCTCTTAGGGACTCCATAAACCCACGTCTTTCCCGGCGCATTCATCTGGAGAGATGGAGCCAGGATAACACAATAGCCACGGAGTTTATTCTCGGCACAGGCTGACGGCGACACAATTAAAATGCAAGTCGGAGTCAGGGAACCTATCGATAAATCTTTGCTTTTGGCTCTCGGGCTTGACAGGAAGCCTATACCTGGTGCGGGGCGCTCAGACCGAGGGGGAGGCACGGATAAAGGCTGTGTTTTATAGACGGCCATTTTAATGTTTCGTTTGAGTAATGGGCCTTGCAAATTAGCACCCTGGCGGCCTGAAATACATATTTTTCCAAGGACATGCAGGCTCCCAATCCGACAGGTGATGCGGGCAACCAGTCCCCGAGGGGAGCCGCGATCGCAGCGCCTGGCGGCTGCGCTCGTATTTTATCCCAGCCAGGATGACGGAGGGGAGAGCAGAGAGCTCAGGGCGGGATCCAGAGGCTGGGGAGAGGAAATGGAGTGGAAAATGACCCTGTGTGAGACCAGCGAGGGGCTGATGAGCAGCGGTGGTGGTGGTGGCAGGGAGCGGCCAGGCAGCCCCCGGAGGGCACTGAAGATGCATGGGCACAGCTCAGCCTCTGCCCCTGGAGTGAGCCCACAGCTCTGGGGCACGTCTGCAGCACAATCAAAACTATGGATGCCTCTCTCCAGAGCTGGTCTGAACATCTGGCTCGGGCCTGGATATTCAGAAAGCCGGGAGGTGCTTTGGAGATGCTGGGGAGAAGGGGAATGACTCCTGCAGCTAGCAGGCTGGGTGCTGTCTGGTGGGGGTCTGGTTCCCTTGGCATCACCGTGGCAGGAACGATTGAACATCCCTGCGTTAAGTGGGAGAGGATGGTCGGGACAAGGCTGGAGAAATACGTGCAGCTGAACACGAGGGGGAGCTCGGGCCAGAGAACGCAGAGGAGCAGCGAGCAGAAAGTGGAGCCTGTCCCTCCTTTTCCGCCTCCAGCTGTCTCCCTCTTCTCCTTCCTGGCCCCCTTCCTTCCCCTATCCCCGTGCCCCTGTGCACATAATCCACCACGGATCACTTCCCCACACCAGCACAGGCTCTGCTGCATGTCCCACAGAGGGAGAAGATGCTCAAGCACCAGGATGCGTCTGAGCTGCAGATGTAACTCTGCACAGCACCTTCCCCTCTCACACATGGCCGTGCAAGGATTCAGTCACAGAGCTGACCACGTGCCTTCAAATCACTGTGAACATCGTAACCATGAGCTGGATACCTCTAATTCTCCTCCTTGCTGTCCCCACAGCAAGTGGCACGAGGTGACAACTCCCTGTCCTTGCTGGCAGAGCCATCAGCATGTGGGGATGATCACAGCCTCTGCAGCCCGAAGCACAGCATGATCAGGGCACAAAAGCCTGCCAAGACCCAGCAACCTGCTGCCACCTCCCCAGCCCAACCTGAAGGATGTTATCTGGATCTCACTGCAAAGACAGTAAGGGTTGTGTGGCCTCCTGGAGCAGGAGTTTGCATCCTTGCTCTGGCTCTCAGGGACATCAGCTCTGGTCCCAAGTGTCTAAACAGGGTTTGGGAGTGAGCTGTGCTCCCATCAAGACCCAGGTTCTGCACAAAGTCCCTCCAGAGTATCACACCACACTGCAGGACCAGGAGACCAACTTCTGCTCTCTGTGGGGCAGGAAACAGAGCTCTGAAGGACCCCATGCCGGCAGCATGACCTGCTGCATCTTTGGGAGTGGGTAGCTGGTCCTGCCACTCGCACTTGCCCTGCCAAGGATCAGCCACTCAGACCGTGATGCAGACAGGCAGCTGTGAACTCACTGGGAGAGGCAGGAGTTTGAGAGCAGTGCACAGGGCACTCCTGAGGTGCTCTGAAGGCATGGCAGAAACCCAGTGTGCCAGTCAACAGTGTGTGCTGGTGACATGCTTTGGGGTGAAGGTAAAGGAGTAGCCTTTTGAAGCACCACATGTGCATCTCTATCCACACCAAGATGTTATTTTATACATCAGCATCTCTCCCCAGCCCTGGGAAGTTTGACCACAGCTCACTGGGGTGAATGCACCAGCTTCCACCTTTCCCTGGAGGCACAGGGCTGAGCTCTGGCTGGTACATTTCATGCCCAGCTACCCAAAAGCTACAAAGAACAACCAAAGCCACCCCAGGCAACCCACGATTCTGTTGCCACCCTAAGGACCTGAGTAAGGGAAGCTGAAAGCTGTTCTGGGAAATTTCGGTGGCATTTTATGCTGAGAAAGGGGGATGATGATGCCAGCTACTTCTGCTGCACACACCTATGGAGCGGGAAGCTGGAGGACTGGGCCAAGGTGCACAGAAAGCATTTTCTCCAGGAAAAGCTGCCAGCTCAAGGAGAAACATAAAAACCCTCGACGAAGGGCTTGCCTAGGTTGTTTTTTTTTATAACATCGCCTTTAATTTATGCGCCTGCCTTTTATGATTGTTCTCTATCGCCGTTCCCGGGGCTTATTTATAGAGGGCCATTAGCACAAAGAGCAAGCCCTGATGAGCGAGCATTTGCAGCCTCTGCCAGGGGACCAGGGATAGAAACCCAGACGAGGAGACGGCGAGATCTCGCATGGGGCTGCGGCGAGTCCTCCCCGCGCCAGCCGAGAAGGATAATTTGATCTCGGAGCGCGATACAACTTCATTTCACGTGGCTCTCTCCGGGCAGGCTGCAGCCTCCTTCACATGCACTTTGCTAAATTCCCCAGCCTCTGAGAAACTCAGCACTGCAGCGGAATGAGGGGGAGGTGGAGATCTGGTCCACGCCAAGCACCGAGGAGCTGGGGATGGGGGTAAAAGGCTCTTGAGGGTGCAAGGGGAGAGGTGCTGGGGAGAGGATGGGATCAGCAACCTGGACTGCACGACACCAGTGCTCATCCCTGCCTGCATCCCAGCCCTGTGCCCGTCTCATCCCCTTCCACCTAAAAGCAAAATACATCCAGGGCTGCACAGACACCCTGGGACATGCAGGGGACAAGGAGGACATTGAAAACTTCACGCTGTAACATTTCTCCTGTTTACAGACATCACTCTCCAGGGCAACCCAGACAGGTGATCTGATGCCGGTAATTAAAACCACAGTCACCAAAATGACAGATTAATTCCAGGGCCCAGCCCACCCCCAAAACACACTGATGTGCAGGGAGAAATGCAGTGGTTCAAACCCCAGCTAAGCAGGTAGGTGGGTCTGTTGGCAGACAGAGACGATGTAAAATGAATTTGTATGATCAAAGCCTTCCCATACAGTTCGCAGGTAATTTGTGACGAGAACAAAAGCTTTACATTCATCCACTAAATTATTCACTACAAATCGTCCTCTCAGCTCCCGTGCTTGTGTCCTTCAAGCTGTTCTAGGTGGTGATTATGTCCCTTCGGCACACGGGGAGGCCTCAGGCAAGTGGCCACGGAAAAGACGGAGCTGCTGATCCAACACCGGTGGTTTGATTTACAGAGAGAACTGGGGAGAGGAGACAGCCACCCTCAGGAAAAAAGA